AGAGATATTATAAAGATATATATATCTTTATATTATTTCTCTCTCTCTCTCTCTCTCTATATATATATATATATATATATATATATATATATATATCTTTATAATATTATTATATATCTATAATATATCTATAATTATATATCTATAATATCTATATTATATATTTATAATATCTATATAATATTATAAATCTATTATATATATATATATATATATATATATATATATATATATATATATATATATATATATATATATATATATAGTTATAATATTTTTCTATATTTTATTTATTTTAATAGAAATAGAAATGTTATAAAGAATATTGCATTATCATCAAGCCACTAAAATGATTAAGAACAGAAGTCAATGTCTACGTATTTACTCTCTACTGTAAACAGTAAATTAATAGAGACATTTTCTATTAAAATAAATAAAATCCTCTGTTGGGTCAAAGCGACCTAGCATTCGTCAAACGAGAGTCGCTCGTAGAAAACTTACCGTGGTATTGCCCCAGGTCCCCGACGCCTCCGGCGAGGATGTCGTATAATGCAATTGGACCGTGGCTCCATGGAAAATGATGTATTCCCCATTGTTCAGATCGATCCTGCGATTCCATCTATTGGTCATACAGGCCACCTTGTACTCCTCTTCTAATTTCGCCGCGATGCTCTCCTCGTAGGGGGTGTAGACCGACTCGTTGCTACCTTTGTAGAACCAAGAGCACCGTCGCACTTCCGTCGATGCCCCGGTCCAATAAACGGGAGATCGCTGGCGTCGTAAAATGTCGACATCGTAACGACCGCCATCGGTAGCGATCGTAATCTCGGGGGTAATTTCGCTGGAATTATGAACTTCTTCCAAGCGCAAGCTATCTTGCATGGAAAACGGAAGCCATAACACTTTGTGTTCCACCTCTTTGCGATAGAACCAATGATGATACACCGCTCTGTACTGCATGCGTTTCTCTGAGGGATCCACCGACTGAAATTCATTATGAAACAACGGTTATATTCGTTAGTCGTCGCGTCTCGGGAATATTGCACGCGTCTTAACAATACGACTCGATCGATTAACACGTTGAATGCCACGGGGGGGTCACCGGTGACCGGCACTTAACTTGGCGGTGACGCCATTGGGGCCACCGGTGACCGGGCCGCCCAAATTGATAGAAATTGATATATATATATCACTGTTCGAATTGACGATGGTAATAATACAAATTTGTTTTAAATTATACAGTGTATAACCATGTTTGACATGTTATATATAATTTAAAACAAATGTCAATATCTAAAATTTTGTATTATTACCATCGTCAATTCGAACAGTGACCCCCGTCGCAATTAACATGTCAAACATAGTTATACACTGTAACTTATCTATTGCAGATAATATTAGGTCTACCGGAAAGTTCTGTCCGATAGTGTCACTTCAAGTTTCAAACCATATGCACACGTTGATTTGAGACATATATGACTATCTCTCTTTATCATGCATTTACGCACATGTACTCTCCTAAATAAACTGAAACAAAGATGTCTCATGTCATTATTAAGTGAGACGCGGTCGTGAAAACATGGCTACCGATGATAATGCCAGACCACATGCTGCTTTGGCGACTCGTCGGAAAATCGCAGAGCTAGGCTGGGAAATTCTGTCGCATCCACCATACTCCCCAGACCTAGCACCCTACGATTATCACTTGTTTCTCTCTTTGCAAAACTTTTTACAGGAAAAAAATTCAAAACTGAAGCTGATGTCAACCAAGCACTAGTCGAGTTCTTCGCCTCTAAAAATAAATCATTTTTTAAAAATGGCATTTACAAGTTGCCATCACGCTGGCAAGAAGTCATAAGTCATAACGATGGAAAGTATATTCTACAATGAATATTATTAAATGTATGAAAATTGTGTTATATTTCAATTCAAAAACGGACAGAACTTTCCGGTAGACCTAATACATTAACATTATATATATCACATAAAAGAAAATTCATCGTGGAGTCGCGGACAATTTCTGTAAAACCGGCGTGGCATTCAACGTGTTAATTCTACTCGACGTTTCGTATCTTCGATATTGAAATTCAACGATCAGAAATATACCGTCGAGAATGATCAAACTTACTGATCCTTTCGTTCGAGTAGTTTCTCGCTACTTACGCTTTCGCTAACACTGGTAAATAGTGTGCCGATCGTTGTGCAATTCGTGCACTTTTATTGTTTCCTCTGGAAACCTGTTAGTCGACTATTTTCACAAAATACACTTTGAGGAGAGAGCAGTTTTCGTGAAACCTTGTAATCTACTGGCAAGTAACAGCAGTGTGTGTGTGAGACTTTAAACGATTTGGTAGTAATTTATCTTATCTTAATTAAAGAGTGGTCAGAACATTTTCAAAAATAATTGGTATATTTCAATCTAAACCTCTCGACACAGTGAGACTAAATAGAATGAGATTATATCCTCCTTTAAAACAGAACGTTCAAATTACAGTAGTGTCTCTCTAATTGACGCTCAGATTGTCCAGAAAACTGGACAATTTGGGAAGAGGAAATACGATTAATTTGAGTCTTGCGCCTCCTTTTATAGTTACGAATTATCAACAACTATAAAAACGAGCTGCAAGGCTCGAATAATCGTATCTCCTCTTCCCAAATTGTCCAATTTTGTGCAGAGTCTGAGCGTCAATTAAAGAGACATTACTGTAATTCCAAATATCTATGTCCTTCTGAGTCAATAGAGAAATCACTTCACTGCGTATCGAATTTATCTAAGTAATTACAAGTTATGTCAAAGATTATTACAAGGCTACGTATTAAAATCTTTCCAAGTCATCGAAAGGATCATTTCACTCTATGAATAAAAGCAGTTAGCATCTCATCGCTATACTACAGATCGTTATGCCACCTCCAGTTCTCATTTCCAATTTCATGAAATTCAAATTACAGAAACGTTAACGTTAACGTTACTGTAATTCCAAATATCTATGTCCTTCTAAATCAATAGAAAAATCGCTTCACTGCGCATCAAATTTATCTAAGTAATTACAAGTCATGTCAAAGATTATTACAAGGCTACGTATTAAAATCTTTCCAAGTCATCGAAAGGATCATTTCAGTCTACGAATAAAAGCAGTTAGCCTCCCGTCGCTATACTACAGATCGTTATGCCATCTCCAATTCTCATTTCCAATTTCATGAAATTCAAATTACAGAAACGTTTCGTCCGTTGACTAACAGATTCCTGACTGGTAAAACTAAAAAAACAGAACCACGACAGCCACTTTCTAGGAATCTCAGGAATCTCGCGAACGCGACGACACGTTCCTCAATCATCCAACGAAGCAACGCAACGTCGTCCGGCGTCTCACCAGGATTTGCGAATCGGGCGCGATGCTGTCCGGCGTGGTGCGGTGTCCGTGCGGATTAATTGACATTTGAACTGGACTCAGAGTGGCGGTACCCGTCGGTTCGGGCACATTCGTTATCCCAGGTGGCATGGGCGGGAATATGGTGTCGTTTTCGGCCGCCGCGTCGTACGTTTGCGGCGGACCAAGCGCGCTCCCGAAGTAATGTTGAGCCTGGTTCACTGGCAGCTGCGACGACTGCACGAAAGGAGACACGTACGGCTGGAATCTCGGTGCCGGTGGTTTGTGCAGTTCGCTTTGAAATTGCAGAGGATTGTAGAGCTGCGGCGGTGGGGCAAGCTGAGTGCTACCTGTCGCGCCGGCAGTCCCGGCATTAGAAGCTGGACCGGTGCTCCAGAACGCTTGAGAAGAAGCGACCGTCGGATTGTCGAAGTAAGAGTAGAGACCAGTGGACGACGATGGTTGCTGCGGGTCGTTCCTCGAGCCGATCGCTAGCTGCGGATCGGCGTTGCTTTCGTTGAACGGCGGAGGCGGGAACTGTCCGAGGTCCTGCGACTCGAAGAACGAGCTCGCTGGTTGGACCGATCTTTGGGACTCGGCGAAGGCGCTGGAGCTCGAGGTCTCCAGCGGATAATTCAGGCTCGACCTCTGTTGAGCCGGCTCTGGAAGGAAGCTAGAGGTCAGCGGGAAAGCCTGCTGCTGGAACTGTGGGAAAGATGGCACGTTCGACGGCGCAGCATGGCTCTGAGCAGCCTCCGGCTTCAAGTCCACGAGTTGCTGTTCAGGACACGCGGGACTTTCTCGCGGGGGTGGCAAAGCAGGTTCCGCCTTCGGCGAACAGCTCTGTTCTCCAACCTCGCGCGGTCCCACAGCTTCGAAAGCTTCCAACGCGCCTTCCGCAGCAGTCTTCTCTAACTCCTCGGTGGCTAACTTCGAGGACTCTTCCTTTCGCTCTTGCAGCAAGTGCTCCAACTTCTCCGAAATCTGGATCGCAGAGCTCGGGGCGAACGTTACCGCCGGCTTCGCTCCAGGTGTGGGCGCGTTGCTCCTCGCGACATGTGCGTCGTCCGCCTGACTCGGGCCGCTCCTTGCGGCGTCCTTCTCGGTGCTGGTCGGCGTCAGAAAGTCCGGCTGAATAGGGTAAGTCTCGAACACGGGGAAAGAGAAGTTCACAGGCGTGTTCTGCGGGGTGACAGTCTCCGGGACTGTGTGAGGAATCGGTCGGGACAACGATTGGGGAACTGCTGTCCTTAAAGGCACACTCTCGTAGCCGGAGTTCGGACTCTGGGGTGTGGCACTTCGCGGGGTCCCGGTCGAGCTGTAGGAGACCGCGGATGCGACCGGACTCGACCGGAAGGACTCTTGCAACGAGTTGGCTTGGGACAGCTGCTCGGGGGTTGATCGTTCGATCGAGGGCGAGTTCGTCGCCGCTAGAGCTTCGACCGGCTGGTAGGCCTGCACCGGTGCTGCTATCGGCTCGTTCGGGTTGAAGATGCTCAGTGGCACGACGGACTGCGGGGTGAACACTGGCTGCACCGCTGGGGCTGAATATTGTTTCGACGTGCTCGACGTCAATTCGGGCGGCGGCGCGTATTTCAGGCGCCTCTGGTTGCCAAGTCGGTACGAAATCGGGCCTAACAGAAAGAATAACGGCGCATTATTCCCTGCAATTTTATCCCAACGTGACCTAGCCGCCTGATCTGCCGGGAAGTCGAGCAGGCTGCAAGGAGTCTACCAGGAGAATTTTTTGTAGCGACGAATTTTTTATTGTGCATGATAATTGGTATTTGAATAATTTATTAATAATTTAAATCTTGATAATAATTTTTATTATGTTACTAATATTATATTAATAATACTATATTAATAATATTATATTACTAATACTATATTACTAATATTATATTACTAATACTATATTACTAATATTATATTTATAATACTACATTACTAATATTATATTAATAATACTATATTACTAATATTATATTAATAATATTATATTAGTAATACTATATTACTAATATTATATTAATTATATTATATTACTAATACTATATTAATAATATTATATTAATAATACTATATTACTAATATTATATACTAATAATATTATATTACTAATATTATATACATAATACTGTATTAATAATATTATGTTAATAACAATTTTTAAATATTGTTGTGTCCGTTGAACTATGGCAGTAAAAGGATCGCTCGACCTTTTAATCCCCTATTAAACAATACGATCAGATTGCCAATGAATATTGCAAACGAAACGCATTAAATACGAACGTTACTCATTTCCTTCTTGAAATGAGATTCTATTCTTCTATTGTCGCGAGACCGTCGATTATCTCACGGTGTATCTAACGTCGCGAAGCGTAGCTAATTTCCATTCGACAACAATTCGCCGAGAATCAACTTTCAATTAATCGACGAACTCGCGTTGCAACAAAGAGTTCTCGAAACGTAAGTTCAAGCTCGCTCGGTGTACAACAGCCGTGCACGTTTAGGCGCGAAAAAGGCTATTAATAAAGCCGCAAACGAGGTGTATAGAGTTAACCAATTACGCAAGTTATTTACGTGTCACTGTCGGCCACTCCTGCGTCCTTACATCATTTTAGCTTTATATTCCAGCATGACTGACGGCCGGCCAAACAATGGGTATCGAGCGAATTCTCTTTGTACTTTCCACGGGACAGCGTTCTAACAACGCTGTGCACTATTTGTCCGTCGTGTAATTTCTTAATTATTCGTTAAATAGAGAGACAAGGTTTCGTTGAAACAACATAACGACTTCCGATAAAGTGAAAACGCGGGAACTTTTCCGTTCTAAAGTGTCCGCGACGCGTTCTTTACGTAATACGTTGATATACAGGGTGTCCCGAAAATGTCTCGCAATCCGAAAGTAGGAGATTCCTGGGGTCATTTAAAGCAACTTTTTCCTTAGCGAAAATGCAATCCGCGGCTTCGTTTACGAGTTATTAACGAAAAACAGTGACCAATGAGAGGCGAGATCATTTGGCGCGAGGCGACCGAGCCAATCAGCGGAACTGGGCTTCGTGCGCTGGTTGGCTGGACCGCCGCGCGCCAGCCGAGCTCGCCTCTTATTGGTCAGTGTTTTTCGTTAATAACTCGTAGACGAAGCCTCGGAGAAAATTTTCGCAAAGGAAAAAGTTGCTTCAAATCACCTCAGGAACCTCCCATTTTCGGGACACCCTGTATTATATAGCTGTGACGTTACGTTCAACGAAATTCACCGATATTCACGCATCGTGCGGAATCGCGAGCGTTTATTAATTGTCGGTCGAGTCGAATCCGCTTAATTTGGAAATTGCGTTTCACAGCAACTTTTAGGAGCCTGAAAGTTCGTCCGAACTGAGCTGAAATCGAATTAAATGCGAACGATCTTATTCCTGCAGATTGTGCAATTAAAATCGCGCGACTATAAATTAATAATAATAAATTTTCCCTAATAATTTAATTTATTAGGGATTTATAATTTAGTAATAATAAATTTCCCTAATAATTAACGGTCAGATGGAATTATTATTTGGGAATAATCGAATCTCCTCTTTCCAAATCGTCCATTTTTATGCACAATCTGAGCGCGAATTAAGCAAATTTTACTGTAATTATTTTTCCAAAAGCTGGTAAATTACTCGGCGCTTCTATAAATCTGCAACGATCTTGCAAAGCGATCTAAGAAATAAAAAGACTCACCGTCGCCCGACGTAGGAATAGTAGGCGGAGCAGTAGGCGGTTGCGGCGGTGCCGGTAAACTGGAACTGCTTCCGGGATAAACGTCGCCGGATCTCGCGAAATTTGTGGAACGGGGTTCGTAGAAATTAGGGACAGGGGGTGGCGTGGTGTCCGTCAACGGATCACGGTGATCGAACGGTGGCAAATGAGGATTTCGATCTTGCGGATTGGTCTCGAAACTTTGGCTTGCTTGAGACCCCGGAGTGTCCCCGGTGATCGACGATAACGACAAATTTGGTAGCGACGAAAGTATCGAGGTGAAGTAGCTCTGCTTCACCGGCTGATTCTCCGGAGGCTTGGGCTCCTCCGTGTGCAAAGGTATAGGCGTGAATTCGGAATCCGCATCGGCCGAACTCGCCGCTGTAGTCGAACTGTGCGAATTCACTGGTACCTTTCCTACGATCTCCTCCGGTTCAGCATCTAAAAACAGAGGAACGTAATAGCATGTATTAATGATCCTTCATGGGTTTCATGTTACATCCGTTCCTTACAATTAATGCTTAAAATTAAAACTGAAATTGAAATTAAAATTGAAATTAAAATTGAAAATAAATTGAAATTGAAATTAAATTAAAATTGAAATTAAATTGAAATTAAATTGAAATTAAATTGAAATTGAAATATAATTAAAATTGAAATTAAATTGAAATTATAAATTGAAATTAAATTAAAATTGAAATTGAATTTGAAATTGAATTTGAAATTAAAATTGAAATTAAATTAAAAATTGAAGTTAAATTAAAAATTTAAATTAAATTAAAGATTAAAATTGATATTAATTTAAAAATTGAAATTAAATTAAAATGATCATTTACATCTAAATCTTACAACTAACACTTAAATACTCCTGTTCACTCTTTCTCTCGCTTTCTTTCCTTCTATCTCTTTTCTCGCTTCTCTATACTCCTGCTTCGCGTCTCTTTAATTTCACCCTCGCATATTCCACACGTATTGCTTTACCACCCACCCCTCAGAGCAACGTATATTCTGCGATTTTGGAACAGTTCTCGCTGATATAATCGAACGCCTTTCAACCAGCCAGCTGATCTTGTCGAGTACACCCGTCGCGAAGAAATTGCAACATCTTGTGCCATCGCGAATACGCTCGGAATCCATAAAAATTTGCCATTCAAATAGCAATTTCAGCGGAAACTGAAATATATTCGTAAAGACGTTGTTTTCTACGCTCGGAGACCAAGACGAAATAAAAACGAAAAAATAAAAAAATATAAATAATGCCACGGTTACGTAGCATACTCGTCATCGCTTATTTTTAGCGACACATTTTATGTACGTTCTTTTCAAAGAAGTCGTAACTGCCGACTGATTAAAGCGGGAGTGACTTTTTCAAAATCGGATCGAATGACTTGCATTTCTCTTATGTGTTAGAGAGACTGGTTTATTAAACGTTTAAAGAAAAATTATGATTTTTATCCGGGCCTAAAACGAAAAATCCCGCGTTTGACGGGTCCCAGTGAAACTGTAATTTTCATGAGTATTTTAAATATTTTTTGCGAGTCTAAGAAATAACAATTTTAGCTAAAATTTCTTCGGAATTTTTGAGAAGTCGTCCCGTTTTAAAAGGTGACCTAATATCGTGGCGAGCGTCAGTGCGTGTTCAAATCAAGCATGACCGAGCAGTGTTTGCATAATGATTAATCACCGGACTGCGGATCCTTGGTCATACTGTTTTTCTCTTTTTTCTTTTTTAATATAAAACTAGCAATTCGCACGAAGCTTTGCAGCCTGTTACGAACGAACGAAGCGATCAACGTATTTCCTAATCGAATAGGGCGTTCAACGATCGCTTGGGCGAACGCGCAATAATTCGCGAGGATCGGTAAAAATGTCTGCTATGCGTAAAAATGTCCAACAAATATTTTTACCACGTCACGATGAATCACGTCGATCGCATGAATACCTTCAAGTAGAAAAATGAAGTTGGTTTCCATAGAGCGCGGCGTGTTTTCAGATGAACGAGGATACGCGTTCATCGTTAATCTTCATTGACCTTCCGCCTCGGCTTTTTTATTTCGAATATCTCCACTGAAATCACCGCGTCTATACTTTTCGAACTGATTCAGAATCAGACCTTCGAAAATCGCGCTGCAATGTAAATATTTGACGTCACGCGAATGCTCGTCGTCTCGTCTGTTTTCACTCGAACGCGTGGCGAAATATTCAACTGCGAACGAATGCGTGTAATAACCAGATCGAGAGGGGCGCGGGATCTTCATGCATTTACGATGCATGCAAATTTCCAAAGTTCAAAAAGACGCGTGTATTAACGAGGGTGAATAATTTCGTTTGTGTGCAGAGTATCGGCGCGAAAAGTATACCAGAATATGGAATATGAATAGCCTGTGTTGGTTCTCTCTTGGGTGACGAACGCCGTACTTTTTCGGGGACACCGATGTTGCCCGAAGAATGATACGTACAGTAATGTCTCCCTTACTGACGCTCAGATCGCGCACAAAAATGGACAGATTGGGAGTAGAAAATACGATTATTCGAGCCTTGCAATAAGCAACTATAAAAACAGGTCACACGTCTTGGGAAGAGAAAATTATTTTCGAATTATTATTATTTGAAATTATTATTATGCAGCCTCGCGGCTCGTCTTTATAGTTGCAGATTTGTCAACGACAATAATCTTATCTTCTTTTCCAAATTTACAAGCTGAAGAACAATTAACGAGAATTTACTGTACAGCAAATTTTCCCCAATTGTTCTTCAGCTTGTAATTGACGCTCAAATTGCGCACAAAAATGGACAATTTGGCAGTAGAAAATGCGATTATTCGAGCCTTGCAATAAGCAACTATAAAAACAGGTCACAAGGCTTGAATAATCGTATCTCCTCTTCCCAAATTGCTCATTTTTGTTTACAAGCTAAAGAAAAATTAGGGAGAATTTACTGTTCGATTATTCGAGCCTCGCGGCTCGTTTTTACAATTGCCGATTGTCAACAACTATAAAACCGACGCGCAAGGCTCGAATAATCTTACCCCCTTTCCCCAAATCGCCTAATTTTTATTTACAAGCTGAAGAAAAATTAGGCAGAATTTACTGTTCGATTATTCGAGCCTCGCGGCTTATTTTTATAGTTGCCGATTGTCAACAATTATAAAAACGAGATGGAAGGCTCGAATAATCGCATCTGCTTTTCCCAAATTATCCATTTTTGCTTGCAAACTGAAGGAAAATTAGGGAGAAATTGCTGTAGTTGTATTTATTGTATTTATCGCGTTAAATGCACCGTATCCTCTTATAAAATACGATAAAAGAGTCGTTAAAGAGAAGCTGTAAATTCTCGAAATATCACACTGTGTGTTGTAATTTTAAAGAATTGTATTCATGAAATTGATTCGATGTTCTTTACGTAAGATACAAAATGGTGGTCGCCACGCATGTGTAACGCTGCCAGCGAATGTATTATATTAAATTACTTCAATCTTCTTTGCGGTCTCGGGTTAAGATCGCGCTTTAGTAGTTTTAGATTATTCGAGCCTTACAGCTCGTTTTTATAGTTCTTGACAATTCGTAACTATGAAAACGCAGCGCAAGCCCCGAATAATCGTATCTCCTCGTCCCAAATTGTCCATTTTTATGCGCAATCTGAGTGTCAATTAGAGAGACATAATTGTACCTAGAATGACTCACAAATATCTTCGTACACAGAATGATTATGCGATTTCAATTTACTGACTTTTAAACGTTAGAACAAACCGCGATCTTTTTTTTACGAAAATCCACCGAGCTTTCCTGCTCGTTGTCTTGTATATCTCTCGTTTTCTCTATACTGATCTATATTGGATAGGTTTTCTAATTTTTGATAATACGGTAAATTCTCCCCAATTGTCTCTTAGCTTGCAAAGAAAAATGGACAATTTGAGAATTGTATCTCCTCTTCCCAAATTGTCCAAATTTGTTTACAAGCAGAGGGACAATTGGGTAGAATTTATTATACTTATTAACGTTGACTTCTTTATCGACGATTTTAATCAATTTAAAAATCAACTATGTAATGTTATCAGAATCTAGTTTGTCTTCACTTCGCGGATTGTAAGTTTACCGTTTCCACTTTCATTGTTATTATTATTCTATTATCATTATAATTATAACAACATCAAAATTTTATCGAATAAACGTCCCCTTCATGCTAAATAAATTAAATGAAACAATCACGCCAAACCTAGTTTATATCTTCGCTTCGCGGACTGTAAGTTTACCGTTTCCACTTTCATGTTTATTATTATTCTATTATCGTTATAATTATAACAACATCGAAATTTTGTCGAATAAAAGTCCCCTTCATGCTAAATAAATTAAATGAAACAATCACGCCAAACTCGCGTAAACTTCGTAGCCGGTAAACCTTCATTTCGTTACAGGTAATTACTCCACGTTGAAACATTAAAACAACTAAATTCGCCGACTATTAAAAACCCAATGAAACGACCGAACTTCACGTTTACGTAGGAACGCGTTCGCGGAAGTCTGGCGTAGTTTCGCAACGAGATAAAACACTGAATGAAAACTGTTCTCCGCGTGGGTCTTCGTTAATGAGCCTTAAAAGGTCACCGTTGCCGACCTCCATCGTCGAAGACGTATTTCCCCATATGTCACGAGGAGGATAGATAGACGGAGGATCCGCGCCACGGTCACGTAGAAACCATGAAATAGCTGACGCGTGAAATCTCGACATTATTCACAGCCTGTCAATATTGGACAGGATACAATGCTCGTAATTTCTCATCGGGAAAGATAGCCAGGCCGGCGGAGATACGACGTATCTTTTTCTTCTTTTTCTCTGACGCGGGCGATCGCGCGGCGTCCTGTCGGACTCTCTCGGATTACCGATTTCTATGGGCGATCACATCCTGTACACGCGTATGCAACATCAAACACCTGCGATTGTGCAACGGGCCCGGCGCGTGTTTGCGCCTAGATTGACTTTGTCGCCGGCGTGTTATCGTTAACCGCGGACACCTTAGCCTTTTGTAAACCAGCCGAGAACATCGTCGGGACCTTATAAGTAACAGGTAGGTTCCTACGACTAATTCTTCCGTCCGGATTATCGGCGAACGAAGCACCATGAAGCCGCGAAGAAACCGTCCGAGTTGTTTCGCGGTCTGTTGTCTAGTGTCGATCGGCTGTTTCAATGGTTTCGTCGCGACAGTGAGCCCGATTACGTTTGCCAAGGACTCGGAAGATCGATGGAAATTCTTCGAAGAGAACGTGCCCGTGGACGAGAGGGTGCGAGGATCGAGTGCCGCACAGTTGCCAGCCGAGCCCGAGTGGATCGCTTCTAGCCGGAGTCCAAGGATTCCGTTGTTTATCGACTCGACACGGGATACTGTGCTTTTTTCCACGGATAAATGCAGCAGGTCGGTTTCGTTTTGCTCGTGCGCTTTGGCACTTCGCTTTGAAACTGTTCGATCGCGAGATTTCGTTCGAATTGGTGAGGGGATTTAATGAATGAAGGTTCGTTCAGTGATAATTTGTCTTGATTGCGGATTGGTTTTGATGGATCGATAGCATTTCTGTACATTTTCGTACATTTTTATGCATTTTTCTATGTCTCTGATCATTTTTATACATTTTAGCACATTTTGCACATTATTGTACGTTCTTGTACATTTTTATACGTTTATGTACCTTTTTTACATGTAGTTTTCCTTATCGTTTTTAAATATTTTTGTACGTTTCTGTACATTTTCGTACATTTACGTATATTTTGGAATATTTTTAAACACTTTTGTACATTTTTGTGCATTTTCGTATATCTTTGATAATTTTTATACATTTCAGTACATTCAGTACATTTTTGTACATTTACATTTTTTATATGCAGTTTTTTAACGTTTTTAAACATTTTTGTACATTTCAGTACATTTTCGTACGTTTATGTACATTTTGAAACATTTCTTAACACTTTTGTACACTGTTGAACATTTTTGTACATTTTTCGTATGCCATCAACGCATAACAATTCGCAATTAAACCTCGCTGCTTTCGTTAACAATTTTGTTCAAAACTTGACGTCAAATATACCCGAATAATTTGATTTCTATGCTTAGACACGTGTGCGACTAGCAAATAAAATAATCGCGTAACGAGTTAACGAGTCGCTAATTACGCTTAATGAAATCTTGTATTCGAGTACCGTAATAACGAACGTACGCAAAAACTACGCGGTGTTTCAAAAGTATTCATTCATTGAGCAAGCCTTATGAAAGAATTCATTATCGAAAGATGAGATGCGTTCTCAATTAATCCCCGTCTCTTGGGCTTCAAATAAACATTGTTCGTCGCTGCGAAGGTATTGCATTGCAAATGGGATTAACCGGGACGAAGATAATTTCCATTACATCAACATCTTTTGGTCGAGCAACATCGCCGCATCTGGTAAGTCGCATGAAGCTATAATGAAACGACAATACGAAGCGACACGCCACACGGTCACAATCGAATCGAACGTTTCTTTGAGAAACTTCCGTCGTATCAATTATTATTTTTACTTCTGATCATCGCGAGCTCGCTTATCGGAGTCAATTAACCCCTTGCCGTACCATTTTCTTTATAGTTTTACTGATTAGAAGCTTTTCGATTCTAATCATTTCTAAGAAGAAAAAAGACAATTTATATTTATTCTATATGTGTTTCACAATTTATATGTGTTTCTATATTTACTAAAATGTTTGAATATTGATGACATATGTGTTTTTTTCACAATTTATATGTATTTCTATATTTACTAAAATGTTTAAATATTGATGACATTTTAGTAAATATAGAAGCACATATAAATTGTGAAACACATATAGAATAAATATAACATTATAGATTATATTATATATAATATAATCATTTCTAAGGAGGAAAAAGACAATTTATATTTATTCTATATTATAGCTCGCTTATCGGAGTCAATTAACCCCTTGCCATTTTCTTCATAGTTTTACTAATTAGAAGTTTTTCGATTCTAATTATTTCTAAGAAGAAAAAATACAATTTATATTTATTCTATATGTGTTTGACAATTTATATGTGTTTCTATATTTACTAAAATGTTTTTAAATATTGATAACATTTTAGTAAATATAGAATATAAATTGTGAAACACATATAGAATATAATAATATATAGAATATAATAACATATGGAATAAATATATATAGAATAACATATAGAATAAATATAAATTGTCTTTTTTCGTCTTAGAAATGATTGTTTAAATATTGATGACGAGAAATCAGAATATTATTCGGACTAAAAAGAAGGAAATAGCATTCATACTTAACAGGTTATTACTAAAAATCTCCGTCACGTGTCAGACTCGTCGAAATAGGGCAAGGGGTTAAAAGAAGCATTTTCCTCAGAATTATAAATTCAGGTAAAATATAATAAACGATCGAACAGACCTAATTTGCTTAAAATTGGCAAAAAGCATGGCAAGGATCGAGTGAAGAACGCCGCATTTTAGCGTCGGCGTATTCAATTTAACATTTTGGCTGCGGACGATGCGAATACGCGTCATAAAGAAACGGCAATTTTGCATCTAACAAGAAAAATACATCTCCTGCGATTTAGATTGAGATGCTCGCGAAACATGTTCATAAATTTCGCACATTTTAGAACAATTATTCTAGAACAACTTGCCGAAAGAAACTGCGCCCAGTGCGATCGATAGAACGCGTACAAAATTGATCTTAAAAATAGATCGACGCAGCCAAGCGGTTAAACAATACCGCATCGATTGCCCCAGAAATTTCGGAAGCAGAGAATCCGAGTCGCGTTGGTTCGTGGCTAGAGGCTCGAACAATAAATCTACTTTATTTTTATACGCTAACTCCGAAACTAAGTTCGCCGATCAAGAACAACACAAGCGACAGACACTGCCGCCTCGAAAATTATTTAGAAACGCCAGTGGCCGACTTTAACACGTTGAATGCCACGCCGGTTTTACAGAAATTGTCCGTGACGCCACGATGAATTTTCTTGTATGTGATACATATAATGTTGAAATATTATCCGCAATAGATAAGTTACAGTGTATAACCATGTTTGACATGTTAATTGCGACAGGGGTCACTGTTGGAATTGACGATGGTAATAATACAAAATTTTAGATATTGACATTTGTTTTAAACTATATACAGGGTGTCCCAAAAATGTCTCGCAATCCGAAAGTGGCGGGTTCCTCAGGTCATTCGAAGCAACTTTTTCCTTTACAAAAATTTTCTCCGAGGCACCGTTAACGAGTTATTAACGAAAAACAGTGACCAATGAGAGGCGAGCTCGGCTGGCGCGAGGTGACCGAGCCAATGAGCGGAACTGGGCTTCGTGCGCTGGTTGACTGGACCGCCTCGCGTCAGCCATACTCGATTCTTATTGATTACTGTTTTTCGTTAATAACTCGTTAACGGTGCCTCGGAGAACATTTTTGTAAAGGAAGAAGTTGCTTCAAATGATCCGAGGAACCCGCCATTTCCGGATTGCGAGACATTTTTGGGACACCCTGTATATACAATAGTTTTGCATTAAATCTTTACGTTATTTTCCTAATCTAAGCTTCTCAAGTTGCTATATAATTTCGCTAATTTAGCATTTTCTCTCTATCAATTTGGGCGCGCCGGTCACCGGTGGCCCCCATGGCGTCACCGTCAAGTTAAGTGCCGGTCACCGGTGACCCCCGTGGCATTCAACGTATTAAGTAAAACCTTCGCACTTGTTCCGACACTGTAAACATTGCAGAGAATCCGGCCGGAAGAGGCGACTCGCAATTATCCGCGACGGAGAGCGACAAATGGGCGGCGAACAACGTTCCCAGAAAATGTCAGGTAGTCGCTATTCAAGTTTTCGAGTCGTTCTATGCACACTGTGTCATCGCACCGAAATATATTCAGGCTCTCTTGTTTATGCTTCTAGATATACCTTGACCTGGATTGTGACGCCGAGGCGGGTACTAGCGCGAATTCCATGAGAACGGAAGCATTCTCGGCCGCGCGCAACGAAGGCAACCCTAATAGGCCCGACGAACCTACTTTCCAGATACCAGTCAGTGTCTCCGCTTTTATCGCACCTCTTAACGGGTTTCGCGGCTTAACGGGATATTCCGATTTAGGAAAAAAATCGACTTTTTTCCCTAGCTCATTTTCTTCGAGGAAAAACCTTCGGGAATAGGTGCAACAAAATCATTCGCTTCGACTCGTAAAAACAAGTTACGGAGCCTTTGAAGTTGATTATTACATTGACTTCAAAGGCTCTGTAACTTGTTTCTACTTGTTTACCGAAAGCGTGCACAATTTTGACAACAAATAACACCAAAAGCTTTAACCCCTTGCCATACTTTGACGAGTCTGGCACGTGATGGAGATTTCTAATAATAAGTATGATTAAGTATGATTGCTATTACGTTCTTTTTGGTCTGAGCAAAGTTCTGATTTCTTATCGTTGGTATTTAAACATTTAAGTAAATATAGACACAGGATAAATATAAATTATCTTTGTTTTTCTTAGAAGTGATTAAAATCGAAAAACTTCTAATCATTGTAACTATAAAGAAAATGGTACGGGAAGGGGTTAAACGCGTTTCCCTCGAAACCTTATCTTTTCGACTGGCTGACATAATATCTCAAGATCTAGTTGGCCAGAACTAGAAAAATTCAAAGATATCGATTCTGCTATTTTGTTTAACATCGTACATATTGAAATAGAAGCTAAGAACGCGAAACTCTAACTTCGAAGTGCCGCCATTTCTTTTATTACAAAAATTTCGACTTTTCTCTAGTTCCAACCATAATTACATCCTTTCCAATGAACTCTTCTTTTTTAATGGGAGTTACTCGAATGTTCTGTTGCTTATACATTTGCTACTATTTCGACTTGAAGAAGGTACTGTGTACGCCAGAAATGCAAGTAAATATAGAGTGATAATACTATTAATATTCGGACACTTCGAAACGCGATAACTTTTTTAGAACTGGACTAAACGACTTGAATTTCATTTTAGATGACAGAACGACCAGTCTAAAATAACCTTGACATAACTAGAATGCGTTCCTTAAATTTTTCCTATTGCTTAGAATGACAAAAGAAAATAAAGAACTCTCGTTTTTTAACTTCTTCATCTGAGCCTGTAACTAAAATTTAAAAAATGTGTTTCATAGATCCCGGTAAATTGTATGCGTGTTAAAAATTTCACAGAAATCGGTGGACCTTCGTACGAGCTGTAAACAATTAAAGATCGTAAAATTTGCAGTATTAACAATCTTTTAATACTTGTAACTCGCTTTTACGTCAACTGATTTCGATTAAATTTTTGTTATAGACTCAGATAAAAATCAGTTAAAAAAGCGAGTGTCTATTATTTTGTTTCGTCATTCCAATGTAATAGCAAAATTGTAACAAAGTTGTTTAATCGTCGTCTGCTATACCATTCCCTCTGTCACAGAAAAACAAATTCAAATTATTTTATTATTAAAAAAGAATTGTAATTATTCTAGTTTTAAAAAGGTTATTGCGTTTTAAAAAGTGTCCGAACATTAATAGAAGTCACTGTATGTATGAAAGCCCAATATAAAACAGTCTGCGGTTCGTTTAAAAAAGAACAAAATCGGAACGAATGCCTGAGAACGCATGTCTAAACCGGAACATCCTCGTAAAATGCTGATAACGATGCTCGTAAAATCCTGATCGTTTTTTTCCAGGTGAGCGTGTCGAGAAGACGCGATCTGAGCGGAGAGACGCGGACGAAATTCTTGGTCGAAGACAGGGCCGATCGGGTCGTCGTGAACGTGGAGGGGAACGTATCGAACGCTGTGCTTCGCATTCCGATGAGTAAGTAATTACCGGCGGTTCAAGGCCGCGGATAATTCGATAACGAATTAGCCAGCCGATCGATCGACGGCTCGCGGAATCGCAGTACGCGCGCGCCGTGCGAAAACTGCGCCTCGAGGAGCCACGTGCTCCGAATGCTGTGCGAGCAACTTCGTAAACTATAAATAATTTTCGACACTCCGGACACGAGCCGGCACCGTGAATTAATGGTCCTGTAGATTCGCGGCCGTGTTAATTGTCTATCGAGACGACGTCGAGTTCGCGAAAATTACGAAATTTACGTTGAACCTATTTCCAATTGGAAATAGTATGGCGTTTATGGTAATTTGCGAAGTTCTGATTAATTCGCGTCAAAGAGAAATTCGAATAGTCTGTTCAGGATTGTATATACAATAAATATACACTAATAAATATAAACTAAAGTTTTGGATGAAAGAGAAAGCTGCTTTTGAAGTCTCTCGACGCATTCGGAGCGATTACGTTCATTTTGTGCAGCAATATTGAAATACATCTTCGCCCAGGCTGCACACACGATTTAGTTGAAGGGGCGACTTTCGACAAAAAAAATACTCAGTGACCCAAAAAGCGTACAAAGGTAACGATTGTAAAGAAACGTTCTACGCGCGACACTTCTTTGCGATCGATTTTCAGTGGGACACACACTTTTAATTACAGTAGAGAGACTCCTTTGTCCGAACGGTTTAGTTTTACAATTTCTTGGTATCTAATCATTGTATTATTTAGATACATTATCGCCTAGCAGAGAAATTGAACTTTTGTTTTAGATAATAGAATGTTCTGCAATCAGAATATTATAAAAAGAAGCCTTCTGATAAGAGAGTCTCTATTGTATGTCAAGGTTATGTCAAGATTATGTTAACGGAACTGAAACACCAATTTTCAGTGACGTAAAACAAGAATTGTTGCTACACAAAAACTATCGTGTGCTTTAGCGAGCCGAAGAACCGTAATCAGTGCCTCGCGGCATGCACCTATGCTAATTATGTTGACGCGCTAATGACTTTACGTCCTTAAACTTTTACTTTGCAACTGTGTTTTCTGCGCGAAACGAAAACAAATTTATTTAACCCGTTCGTTCAGCGATAAAAAGAAAATTAACAAAAACGAGACTAACGATTATGAGATCCAGGAAACAGCGGATTGCAAAGTGTGATTACAAAAACAAACATTACCAAAGGTAGCATACTTTCGACATTTCCGCTGTTGCTTGATTATTTCATAAACGAACGGACAAGTTTTTTTTGTGCGAATTGGGAAAATGCAACGCTGTTTTTAACTCGCTCGAGACGAAATTTTCAGGAGAAACTTCGTTAATTTACTGTTCAGTCGACAATCTATTATTGATAGAGTAAATTCTACGCAATTGTTCCTCAGTTTGTAAACAAAAACGGACAATTTGGGAAGAGAAAATTATTTTCGAATTATTATTATTCGAAATTATTATTATGCAGCCTCGCGGCTCGTCTTTATAGTTGCAGATTTGTCAACGATAATAATCTTATCTTCTTTTCCAAATTTACAAGCTGAAGAAAAATTAAGCAGAATTTACTGTTGGATTATTCGAGCCTCGCGGCTCGTCTTTATAGTTGCAGATTTGTCAACGATAATAATCTTATCTTCTTTTCCAAATTTACAAGCTGAAGAACAATTAACCAGAATTTACTGTACAGTAAATTTTCCCCAATTGTTCTTCAGCTTATACTTGACACTCAAATTGCGCACAAAAATGGACTGTTTGGTAGTAGAAAATACGATTACTCGAGCCTTGCAATAAGCAACTATAAAAACAGGTCGCAAGGCTTGAATAATCGTATCTCCTCTTCCCAAATTGCTCATTTTTGTTTACAAGCTAAAGAAAAATTAGGGAGAATTTACTGTTCGATTATTCGAGCCTCGCGGCTCGTTTTTACAATTGCCGATTGTCAACAACTATAAAACCGACGCGCAAGGCTCGAATAATCTTACCCCCTTTCCCCAAATCGCCTAATTTTTATTTACAAGCTGAAGAAAAATTAGGCAGAATTTACTGTTGGATTATTCAAACCTTGCGGGTCGTTTTTATAGTTCTCAATTGTCAACAACTATAAAACCGAGGCGCAAGGCTTGAATAATCTTACCTCCTTTTCCCAAATCGCCTAATTTTTATTTACAAGCTGAAGAAAAGTTAGGCAGAATTTACTGTTCGATTATTCGAGCCTCGCGGCTCGTTTTTACAATTGCCGATTGTCAACAACTATAAAACCGACGCGCAAGGCTCGAATAATCTTACCCCCTTTCCCCAAATCGCCTAATTTTTATTTACAAGCTGAAGAAAAATTAGGCAGAATTTACTGTTCGATTATTCGAGCCTGGCGGCTCGTTTTTATAATTGTGGACAATTTGTAACTATAAAAACAAACCGCAATGCTCGAATAATCTTACCCCCTTTCCCCAAATCGCCCAATTTTTATTTACAAGCTAAAGAAGAATTGGCAAGAATTTACTGCACTTCGAAAAATAAATTCACGTTATCCGGTTCTATAAAAAGAACGTCATCGACATTGCCGGTGCGTCATCGACAGTTTCCAAGTTACGAGACAATCGTTGCTGTGCACCTGCACGAATCACCCATTAGAACGATCACATGAAACAACATCACAAAATCAACAAGACCACCACAAGCAACATCATAACAGCTGCTACGTGAACTCACGAGTCTGACGGAAAAGCCTGACGTAACTCGGCAAATTACGTAAACATAGCCGAAAGCGAAGCGCAAATCAATTAGCACAGTTGCTGGATTCTTTTCGCGCTACCAGTGGACCGTTCGCGCGAGCGAGCACCCTTCGCGTACCGTTCATTGTATCGACCGCATAGTCGTTTCTGGCAATTCAGTCCGCGGCTGTGGCATCGCGACGAGCGACTGTTGTCGCTTTCGTGGAGAATCGAGCGAGCCACTTTGCAGGCGCGTAGCATGATCGTCCGCGATCATGAACGTCTGTGTCACCGTGAGATTCTCCCTCGGCGACGCGGAAACATTGTCCCCTGAAGTTGTGTAATCCGCGCGAAATCGGTTCTCACGGTGCCGGATAATTAATTGATCGGCGACGGTCGACCGCAAAGAATTACACGCGTTCTAATTAACAGACGTGACAGTGCCATGGCTCGGCACCGTGGTGTCTTGGACGCGCAGGGGTGAAACGGACGGGGTGAGAATCGACACGAACAACGCGCCGCCTGGCGAGTGGTGGATAAAGCTCACGGGGGAGGATAATTCGAAGTACCATTTCACCGCGGAAGCTTTCCCACGGCCAACTGATAGCACGACGATCGAGGAATCGTTTGTCCAGGATCCATGGATCTCCGGTGAGTGAACACGTTTTTTCTGCGAAGCTTCGTCGCTGGGCTGCGAATCTTCGTGCAATCGTCGAACTAATGTAGAAATTGTCCAATATTTAACCCTTTGCAGTCGAAGCTATTTGAATTCGAAATCCAAAACATAATTTCTGATCTACAGTATTTTTATTTTATATAATCTATCGCGACTCATGCGTATGAAATTGGGTCTATTGGCAAGTACAATGCAATTTTAACACATTCCGTGCCACGTGTACCATCGATGGTACACGCTTGCATGTTTACTTAGTGAACTGAACAAATTGTTTACAAGAAATTTAGAACCGAAGAATCAATTTCCATCGCAAGAATGGGCGTTGATAAGTTTTTGTTACGTTGTTATGTGTACGAGAATTAATAATTGCACGTAATACATCAAGTTTTGGTAAAATATCAAAGTGTGAAGATTCGAGTAAAAAAAGCTCGGCACGGAACGTGTTAATAGTCTTTTTTAAAGTATAAACGAGTTTGATGCTCTTCGAATGATTTTGAAAAATAGCATATCAATTTTTAGTGGCGCCTCAGAGTCGCCATTCGATTGCAAAGGGTTAAACAATATAGAATCTGTATCGATTAGGAAAGGACTATACGTGATGAAGACAGGAAATATCGCGTACCGTACCTACAACTAGGATTACAACTACTTCACTTAATTTGACAACTTGCAACGCTCCTCACTCGACGACACTCTCGAACACTCTCTGTCCACTCCAAACACGCTCCTTCGACACTTTTCTACTTTTCGACTTTTCTAAAAACGTGATAATCGCATCCGTCGGCTCTCCGTCGCCAAGGGTTTTTTTCATCTGACCCGGCCTTCGCCAACGTTTCTCTTTTAATTCAATGTCTTAAAACTACGGTCTCCTAAGCCTAACACTCCTCCTCGTCCTAAACGTACCCACTAAATTACGATACTACACTAATTGTCGAACTAATTTCTCGAGAATAGAGCATTTGTCGCGCGCCGAAAGTTCGAGCAGTTCTCTATGCTGATTTCTGAGAGATCGGATGTACATACTGCGAATGCCTGACCGACTACGGTAAAGTCTCCCTAATTGACGTTCAGAGTTTGCACAAAAATGGACAATTTCGGAAGAGGAGATACGATTGTTCGAGCCTTGCAGGTCGTTTTTTAGATGCTTCGTTCGGAAGTTATCGTACAAAATCGCGTCGCAAGGCGTGAACAAGTACAACAATGTCTCTCTAATTGACGCTCAGATTGTCCACAGAAATGGACAATTTGAGAAGAGGAGACTTGCGGTTCGTTTTTATAGTTACGAATTGTCAATAACTATTTAAAAAAAAAAACGAGCCACAAGGCTCGAACAATCGTATCTCCGCTTCCCAAATTGTCCATTCTTGTGCACAATTCGGGCTTCAATTAGGGAGACATTACTGTAAATGCGGCCTCCAATCGTGTATCGATTTATTTGCATTCTCGTTGTTCGCATTGTTACATTTTATACGTTGCCAATAATTCGCTGTTTTTGCTTCGACCAGGAGCGTGTACATTATTATTCAATGAATGTAATATACATTAACGGCTCGGCCATTCAGCAGCCATAAATTATAGGAAACCTGGAGGCAAATTATTACACTATTTAAAACTGTGATCACGGAGAAACAAAAATTTGTAACTTCGTTGCTTTTCGACAATGATTCCGCGTGGCTGTTCTGTTGCTTAAGGAAATTAAGAACGCGACATACGAACAGAGAATAAAAAATATTCCATAACTCGCGTAGAAATTATGCTACATTTTGCTTTTAAAACTTCGATCACTTTAAAACTTCGATTTACCACTTCGACCAGAAAACGAATAACAAACAGCTGTTTACGAAACTGCAATAAAGTGTAAATTGAAAAGAACTCGCCGAAAATCTGCGAAAGTTTAGAAAAGAATTGGCTTAAAAGTCTGCCTAAAAATCACCTAAAAATCGCGTAAAAATCGCGTAAAAATCGACTCACCGTGGTCGGTGGGCACGCCGAGCTGTCTGTAACTTCGTTCGCGTCACACTGGCACAATTCCGATAGCATCGGAAGAGCACGAGAGACAACAGTTTCACCGACCGGCGATTAACACGCGGAAATAACAATCGCGGTTATTTAATCTTCGGGGGACTCGGCGGTCCGCGTACAGAAGAAGCTCGATATCGCGGCGCGTATATTCGCGACGACACGCTTCTGACAACTGGCAACCTCGTCTTCGCTTTTTGGCGAAGATATACTCGGTTGCTATTGTGCAACGCGCGGCGAGCTGCCCTTTGCTCAAGCTCGCGCGCGTTCGTCTGACGCACGCTACCCGCTCAGGAGGAAACGATATTCGCCGCGAACATTTTTTGCCATGCGTCGTCCGCCACGACAGGCCTGAATGGAGAGGAATGATCTATCGACGATCCCGATGCATCGTTTCGATGAATCGCGGGGGGTCGTCGAAAGTCCGCTATTCGAAGTTTCGCTGTTCTTTTGGATTCCCCTCGATTTCGTTTCACGTGTAATCGCTAATTTCTTTTAAATCATAATAATATATATAAACATAATATATCATAATATATATATAAATCATAATTTGCTAATACACATAAATAAATTTTCATATAAATTGCTAATTTTATTTATGGTATTTTATGGTATTTTATGGTATTTTATGGTATTTTATTTATTTTATGGTATTTTGATGTGTAAGGGGGTGGATGTGTAAGTGGACCGCTCGTGGCCCGTAAGAAAACCAATAAAGTTTGTTATTAATTGCTGATATCAAAAGGTGACGAATGTGGAAATCTATTTAAAAAAAAATAGCGATGAATAATGGGTATGAAAGTGTTGAGCTTCGATAGCGTTTTTATAAAGCAATGATCTTTATAAATTGATTTACAGCTTATCACTAGACTGCATTTATGGCGACACTGAATAGAGCTATTAATTTCAGTTAATTGCCAATAAGAATAAAAGGTATGAATGCATGGATCACTTTCGACCTACGGAAATTATTATTATTATAGCCGCTATTATCGATAACTATAAAAACGAGCCGCAAGGCTCGTTATAATAATAAAGATAATGATAATAAATAAATATAATAATGATAAAAATAAAAAAATATAATAATAATAATATAATAATAATCGGTATCCCCTCTTCCCAAGTTGTCCATTTTCGTCTCCAAGCTGAGGGACAATTGGGGAGAATTTACCGTGGCTCCTGTTTCTTGTAACAGGTTCCGTTTATTTCACGTGAACATTTAGCAATTAACATTTCATCCACGATCGAAAAACTTTTCAAACAACCGACCGTGTTACATCAAAAAAAGAACTTTAATTATTTTTCGATTACGATGCCTGAAACAACTTCTCGATTTAACCACCGCAGCTTGCTTTCATTCAACTAGATTGCGGAAAAGTTTCGTCGCAGTTCGCGATCGACAATCAATTTAATACGTATCGTCGTCAGTGAAAGAGAACGTAACCGCTATTTCTGATAATGAGTATAATTCTCTTTTGCTTTCGCTTGTTCCCAGAGAATTCTACCCATCTTCTTCTGTCCGACAATAAACATGTTTTCGTCCGTTCTGGACAATAATATTGTGAGATATTCGAGGGACAAGTACAAGTATTTTAAGCATACTTCTGACGTTCACAAAGGTTCCAGGAAAGTAAAGGGAAGCAATCCTTTCTCCATCAACGCGTTTCCAATTAAAATTCTTTTCAATTCGAATTCCAATTAGAGACAGATCTTTCGCTACTTTTAAAAAGCACTATTATCTTTGCATCACGTGTAGTATGATATTGAATAAACAAAAAAAATCACTTCGTGATCTTATCGAGGGCTCTCGACGATAATTATAACACAGAGAGCGGATTTTTATGCAAAATAAAAATCGTTTCCGTTAATTGGAAATAACAAATGGTCGCATTTAATACGCCCATTTCGTCACAAATCCATAAACTCCGCGATATCAATGTATACAATTGCATTCGTTGCACAACTCGTTGGACGATAAATCATAACGCGGTGTGAACCCACTGAAAACATAAATCGCGTTATCTGGCAGCTGAAACAGTCTATTTTAACGGTTAATGTAATTATAACATTAAGGCAAGATAGCTGCGAACCGAATTTACGTCCAGTTCTATTATTGTATCGGTGTATCTTGATCGTGCATGTTCCTTCTTACAGAGATTTCGCGGTTTACTTGAACCGAACTATTCTGTTTTTGCTCGACACGACCAGTCCACGTCATCAGCGATTAGTTGATGTTGACGTTTTGTTCAACAACTGCAGCTGGCACCGGTGATAGTGTCGTCACCCGGACGAATGTAATATAGAAAATATAAAACATTCGGCATGTTCCTCTTTGTTCGGTGAGAAAAATGTGTGAAACGAATAAAATCGACGATATCGTTGTCGATGTGACTAATATTACATCAATTTATTACAACGAAATAGATTGTATATACACTTTTTTTGATTGAAGCAGACTCGTGTAAAATTGGTAGTATTGTAATAAATTCTCTCCCTAATTGACACTCGGATTATACGCAAAAATGGGGATGCGATTATTCGTGCCTTGCGGGTCGTTTTTATTTATTTTGTATTTATTATTTTTACTATTTCGACGACTGTAAAAATATATAATCGAATATATATAAAATAAAAAAAGATAAATAATAATAAATATAATAATAAATAAAAACAAGCCGCAAGGCTCGAATAATTGTATTTGCATTTTTATATTGTAATATAAATATTATTAATATAATATAATGTAATTAATATTAATTAATAATTATATAATTAATATTATTAATATTATTAATATAATATTTATATAATTAATATTATTAATATAATATTTATAT